ACATCAAAAAAAGAAAAAAAAAAAAAACACTGTGTAGGGGCACCTGGGTGGTACAGTTAGTTACGTGTCCCCAACTCTTGGTTTCAGCTCAGGTCACGATCTCAGATGATTTAAGAGCCCCGCACCAGACTCCACACTCGGTGCAGAGTCTGCTTAAGTTTCTCTCTTCCTCTCCTTCTACTACTCCTCCCCGCCACACTTTCTCTCTCACTCTTTCTCTCTCTCTCAAATAAATAAATACATCTTTAAAAAAAAAAAATTAGAATCTTTCTTGTGCATTGCTGCTAGGATTGTAAAATGGTGTGGCTGCCATAGAAGAGAGTTTGGTAGTTCCTCAAAAAATTAAACATAGAATTAATATATAACTCAGTAATTCAACTCCTAGGTGTATACACCCAAAAAATTAAACACAAGGATTCATATAGATTCTTGTACACAGATGTTCCACAGCAGCATTATTCACAATAGCCAAAAGGTGGAAACAGTTCAAGTGTCTATCCACAGATGAATGGATAGACAAAATGTGGTGTGTGTATGTATACATATATACAATGGAATATTATTGAGCCATATGAAAGAATGAACTTCTGATCCATACTGCAACATGCATGAACCTTGGAAATATTAATGCTAAGTGAAATAAGCCAGATGCTAAAGGACAAATAATGTATGATTCCATTTGTATGGTGTGATGGTTAGTACGAGGTATGTAGAGTAGGCAAATTCATACAGAAAGAAAGTAGAGTGGCAGTACCAGGGGGCGGTGCTGGGTGGGGGTGCATTATCATTTAATGGGTACAGACCTTATTTGGGGATGAAGATGTTTTGGAAGTAGTGGTAATGATTATACAACTTTGTGAAGGTAATGAATGCCACTGAATTATATACTTCAAATGATTAAAATTGTAATTTTTATATTTTCTTTCTTTTACTATAATAAAAGAAATGCAAATATCATTTCTAAAAAGCATGCTATGGCAGAGCCATAATCAGAGGAGAAAGGGGTTTTATTTGAAAGAAAAAAAAAAAATAGAAGTAAACCAAGGTATCTGTGTCTATTGGTGCACATCTACAAATTACAAATCTATGGACTATAAATAAGCATTGGCATCTCATACTCTAAATAAGCTTTTAGTATATCAAATTTTACTTGCAGAAAGTTGGATATGATGGAAAAACTTTTTAAACTGCCTTATTCTACTTTTAGGAA